TGTCAATATACCAAAACCATCCCATAATACATGCCGTATATGAGACAAAGGAATCCTGCGTGAATATTTCTCTCTCCCACCCCACCCAGATAGAAGTTTGCATATGAGGGGGCACAACACTCCCCATTATGACCCTGTGAATCTGAAGGTAATGGGTCTCAGAGAAAACAAAATAGCTACAAGTCAAGATAAACCTAAGTAAATCCCAAAAAAACCTATTTAGGGGCCATGTGGTCTGATTCTGTTTGCTTAAATAGGTCTACACTGCCCAGATGCCATGCCCGTAGGGGATGCTGGAGTACAACACATCCACATCAATAGCCATGAGCAGGACATCGGGGGAAATCGTGACCTTAATATAAGATGGCAGTTGACTAACATGTGGTAACAGATGAAAGTACACAAAGCGACTAGCTTTCCATAAGGGAATCCCATAAGGGAATCAATTCCTGATACTATAGGATGTCCTGTTGGGGACAGTAGGTTCTTATGGGTCTTAGGGTGGGAGTAAAAAGTAGGTGTCTTAAGAAATCTAACATCCAGGAAGTCAAGAGTGTCTTCGTCAATTAATGCCTCTCAAAAGCCCTTATGTATGATCCCTCTATATCCAGCTGTAGTGTTCTGAATAATAATAGGGGAAATAGGTCTGTACCAGTCCCGATTTTTCAAGTTTTTCTAACACATTCTTTTATATTGTTTAGCAGACATAAGAACAATGTTTCCCCCCTTATCAGAGGGTTTAATAGCTACTTCTTTGTTATTCTGTAATTACAACAATGCCCTTCTCTGGGAATGGGTAAGATTGTTCTCATGAGAGCTAGTATACGAAGTCGCTTTAATCTCTTTGATTACCTGCATCAGAAAGGTCCACACACTAGCGTTAGTATGCAGATCTGGAAATGTATTTGATTTTTCTTTAAACTGACCAGTCATGAGGACTATGTCATCTGATATATCATCTGGTGAATCCATGAGTTCCTCCTGAACTTCAGGCTCCTCTCAGGAATTTTTCTCTAGTAATTGTGTAATGCTGTGAAATCTCTGATAGTAAAGTTTTTCCAATGTTCCCATATCTCTCTATCCTCTTTCTCCTTTTATGCAGTCCTTATCAAGTTACAGTATGTCTGTAAGTTAATTTTTGTGCAAATAAGTACAGATATTTGATCAACACTGATGTGTCCAGTCTCTCTGATGAAAAAAAGCCACATTTTAATACTGATTTTTGGTCAAGAGTTAAAGAATGACAGGTGAGATTAATGATATCCAGATTCTCAGTATGTTTTAAATGTTGACTACATATGGGTCGAGGGTTCCCAGTCTTTGGGTTTCTCCTCCCTGAGCTAGTGATAACATAGATGCCACATGAGGTGTTATATGTGAAGTTATCTGTGTGTTAGAAAATTGCTGTGACACCACCACCTGTGATGTTGAATCCAATGACATATTGGTCGATTGTGTGTAAACTGAAACTGAAAGCATATACCCACCACCTGTGGAATTGTTAGGGTCACCCTGTGTCAGAGTTGGCTCATGTTTTGTGGACAAAGAATCCATCTGATGACCACCACCACTGAGACCTCTTATTTGTGAAAAATGTTGCGGGCCACCAAAGGAAGGTCCCCACTGAAAACGTTGCTGAGAATAAAATCAAGATAAAGATGAGTCAGATTCAGAGTTATCTGTTTTTTCAAAAAGGATAGTTACTTTGTCTAGGGGGCCCTCGGCCTCTACCTCTCTTACATTCTTGTCAATTATATGCGTACCCTTCCTCAAAGGCCATTTTGTCTTTAGTAAATTTTATTTGTTTATTATTAACGATTTCTTTATTGATGCTGTTTATGTAGTCAACCAATTCTTTAGCCTTTTTCCTAAAGAGGGGTGAATCCATAAGCCCCTCAGTTAAGGTCTATGAATGAGTGATATCAGCATCACAAGAATCAATATCATTTTTATTTTGCTGGATCAATAATTTAATCAATGTCTCACTACATTTAACCAGAGCTTTTTCCCAAGAGAGTCTAAAGTCTGGAGGCATTTGTCGCATGATAGCAAAAATCTGTACCCTTAAAACAACAAGATTCAATTTTTCTTTAATATATTTCTCAAAATAAAAGATATGCCAATATAAATTTGACTTCCCCTTTAAAATTCTCCTCATCTTAGAGAAGTACATTTTAATCTCTTCCTCTTCTTTAGATAACCTGCTTTGGGTAGCATGAATATTTGACATACAACCATTCCATGAGGCACTGCAACAGTCTATCTTGGGTAAAAAAAAAAGGGGGACGGGGAGCACAATGAGTAATGTCACAGCTGGGGAGAAAAACCGCCATAAAAGTGGATGTTTACCATCCAAATTGCAACAAGAAAATATAAACCTAAGGTGGTAAAACCCCGAAACATAAAATGGGGCCCCACATTCAAAATTACTTAGATATGTGGAGAGAAAGAGGTATTACCCCTTGACTTTTGAGGTTCCCCACAAAGTAACGCACAAGACACTGTTATAAAATATAAGAGGTATATAACCTCCTTTGTAATCTTTATTATTACATAATGATAAAAACAATGCAGATAAAAGAGCTCATCGCAAAAGCAACAGTTAGTCAAGCACAATCATTCAATCTTACATTGTATTGTAATAGTCCTGAAGCATTGGCTTGAGTCAGATTCTATTCAGCAGTAGATCGTAATTCCTCTACATGTTTCACAGGATATTATGACTGCTTCCTCAGGAGGGTAAGACCACTGACTGCAGATAAAGTATACAAAAGAAGATATATAAACAAACAGCATTTACAACACATGCATGATCAATTTGAACTGTGGCAGAGCTTGATACATACAGAAAATGTGTATGAAGATGGGGGGCATATAGCAAGGACCACACCTTAACCCCAACAGGAAAGCCTGTAAAAATAATACACATTAAACCCCAAATTTGCCACTACCCATCACAAATATAAAGAGAAGGTGGAAATTATTTTTACTTGCATAATATGGTATGCTCACCTAAATGTTGAACTAAAACTGCCTATGCCACGGTGGCTTCCAGAAATTCACAAGCTTCAGGTCAGGTCAAAAAGTAATATAAAAATGATTAAATGGTATCCAGTCATGATGGTAACATAAGTGTAAGATCTTACAAGCAAGGAACAATATGCTCCTTATTCGGCCAGGAAATGGGTAGATGAGAAGAATTCCCCCCGAAAAAATATATATATACCAGCACACTCATAGTATAGAAAGATATAGATTGTATGGGAGGCTGACACAATAATAAAAGCATATATCTCACCCCTGTCCTGTTTCCAAAAGAGGTTAGTTAGTATGGCTGCAAGCTGGTGTCTCCGCTACCCCAGGGGTACAGTGGAGCAGACCCCAAATATATGCTCCCCCTCCAGTGAGATGCCATTGCCGGATGATTTCCAGCATGTGATGTGATCTACGGCCAAATGTTGCAGTGGTGCGCATACACAAGCTGTTACAATAGCCACCAAACGTGCATAGACACTGCATAGAAATAGTCACTACACAGTGGATTTTTGCTATTGTCAGCATTTATCTTCCAGTAGAATCTCTGCTATTTCCAGCATATATTTACTGTATTGCTGGCTCACTACCTTAACATATATGTTTATTGGACTAAGCTTTTTATTACTTACTTCTAACAGCTACAATGAGAATGTAAGCTGCTATACCAACGGCTAAAATAAAATACTACACCATATTAGCTTTTCTTTGGTGGCTTATTCCTGGAGCTGCTTTAAGGTGGATATCCAGCGCTGCTGAGTTGCTGTGAAGCCGGGTGTAGCTAACACCAAGAAGCTGCCCTATTTTGTTGTGAGGGTCCCACGGAGAGTCTGGAGTCCGTTTCCTGGGTGTAACGAGTACCTGAGAAGTGCCTTATCTCCATCGGTTCCTAGATGACCACTAGTGCCCTCCTGAATACCATTTACATGCACATTTTGAGTGTGCGTCCGGTGAGTGCAAGCACACCTCATTCCTCTTATCCACAAGAAGTCACGAGCACCTTATTTATTTGAATCTTGTGAGAAGCGACCAATATCCCCATACACTGGATGATATAAGCACGTTTAAGGAAAACAATTTGTGGACTGCTATACATTTATATTGTGCGTTTATGTCACTGATATTTGTCCAATATAGGACAACGCACTATTGTCACTTTGTTGCGCTCTTTGTTAGCGCTTTTTCACTTGTCACTTTATATTGCCATTCATACCTGATATATTATTATATTTAGCGCTGCAATTACGATATATGATTTCAAAGATTTAGAGGTTTTTTCCTTTTGCAAGCTGTGTGTTTACTGTATTTATTTATTCATTTAGTCTAAATAGCGCCCGATTATCAATTTTTGAACAGCGTCATTATATGGCTGGTGTGGTGGTTATCGGGGATACTGACTGATGACAATATATAAAATTTAAAAAAAAGTAAATAATTTGTTATTCAATTTTCTTAAACATTGTTTATTTTATTTTTTTTACACCCCTCACCTCATCAGAGTACCTCGGTGATCAGGGTTTTTATTTTTTTTTATTTTTTTTACACTGTGATTGCTTATACAGCGAAGATCCCTGTATAAGCAACAGCTTTAGCTGTCATGAATAGGTTTCCCATTCATGAACAGCTTGCATTTAAATGTGATCTGTGATTGGCTAAGGTACCCAGGTTCCATGTGATTGCTGTTGGCCTATCACAGACCATAATAGTAATCATTTATGTTCATGAATGAAAAGCCATTCATGACAGGTTATTTGTGCAGTTATCATGTGATCGCTATGACCAATCACCAGTTAACGGTAACAATGATCCTCTGTGTCCAGTAGGCGTGCTGTGTACTCTTAAACAGGTGTAGGTGCAACTTTATATATATACACACACACACATATTGGGACACCCCTCCAAATCATTGGATTCAGGTGTTCCAATCACCTCCATGGCCACAGGTGTATAAAATTAAATACCTAGGCATGCAGACTGCTACTGCAAACATTTGTGAAAGAATGGGTCACTCTCAGGAGCTCAGTGAATTCAAGCGTGGTACTGTGATAGGTTGCCACCTGTGCAATAAGTCCATCCATTCAATTTCCTTGCTACTAAATATTCCACGGTCAACTGTTAGTGGCATTATAACAAAGTGGAAGCAACTGGAAAAAAACGCAACTCAGCCACAAAGTGGTAGGTCATGTAAAATGACAGAACGAGGTCAGCGCATGCTGAAGCGCACAGTGCACAGAAGAGTCAATAGCAAAAGACCTCCAAACTTCATGTGGCCTTCAGATTAGCACAACAACAGTGTGTAGAGAGCTTCATGGAATGGGTTTCCATGGCAGAGCAGCTGCATCCAAGCCTTACATCACCAAGTGCAGTGCAAAGCGTAGGATGCAGTGGTGTAAAGCATGCCAACACTGCACTTTAGAGAACATGTTCTCTGGAGTGACTAATCATGCTTCTCTGTCTGGCGATCCAATGAACGTGTCTGGGTTTTGTGGTTACCAGGACAGTGATACTTGCCTGACTGCATTGTGCTAAGTGTAAAGTTTGGTGGAGGGGGGATTATGGTGTGGGGTTATTTTCCAGGAGTTGGGCTTGGCCCATTAGTTCCAGTGAAGGGAACTTTTAAGGCGTCAGCATACCAAGACATTTTGGACAATTTAATGCTCCCAACTTTGTGGAAACAGTTTAGGGATGGCCCCTGCCTGTTACAACATGACTGCACACCAGTGCACAAAGCAATGTCCATAAAGACATGCATGAGTGAATTTGGGGTGGAGGAACTTGACTGGGCTGAACAGAGTCCTGACCTTCTTGTTCAACATCAGTGCCTGACCTCACAAATGCACTTTCTTGAAGAATGGTCAAACATTCCCATAGACACACTCTTAAATCTTGTGAACAGCCTTCCCAGAAGAGTTGAAGCTATATATACATAGAGGCAGGCATCCACTTTTGGTAATATATTGTGTGTGTGTGTGTGTATATATATATATATATATATATATATATATATATATATACGTAACTGAGCCTGCATGTGCTGCTCTACCGCAGTAAATCTACTAGACTGTTCAATGAGCTGGAGTGAATGGGACATTGCTGTGTGCCTGGTTGCCCTTCCACTATCTTGGGAAAGAAACTGTTAAACTATGGAGGCCCCTTCAGAGGTAGCACTACAAAATATTTTGAAATAATTATTATTATACAGTATTTATATAGCGCCAAAAGGTTTGCTCAGCGCTGTACATTATAGTGGGGGACAGAACATGAGACAATACAGTAACAAAACAATACACGAGGGGTTCGAAGGCCCTGCTCTTTCGAGCTTACAATCTAGATTGTCTATAGTTATCAAACCTACTGAAATTAAAGAGAAATGATTGAATGATATTTATCCTTCAACTAATAGAATAAGAAACCTATAAGGTGAGTTAAAAGCAAAAAAAAAATGCGCCTTTAGGCAATTCGTACCTTTTCCGGGAAAACTAGCCTTCAAATGTTTTGCACAGTACCAAGGTAAAGCAGTAGTTGTTGCAAAGGTTGCAGTCATTTCTAGGTCTCAAAAAATATGTAGGGTTCAGTGGCCTTGGCTGTAACCAAAACAGTCCACCATAATACCACTAGCATGGAAAACGTTTTTTTACAATTTTGAGCACCTGTTGTCATTTACAGTTGGCCTTTCATGATAGCACTTTCAAAGTTTCTGTAGTTACATTACGTTACATTATTGTGCTGACCAGTGTATCAAATATAACACTTTCAGAAAGGTAAGTCTTCAGCATCTCATGGGATTTGTTGGTTCGGTCCCTAATTACTGTACATATACATTTGGGAATTACCCATTGTAGACTTTTTTTTCAGTTTACACTCAGGATAAAATGGTATATGTTTTTATAATCCTTACATTATGGTTTAGCATGTAGTCTTTTCGTCTGCTTTGTGCAATGTTTCCCATTGTTAGGTTGCTTTCTTACAGTATATTATAGTATGCTGTCCAATATTTATGTACTTGATAAATAATAGTTTATAGTCTCACCGTTATTCTGTAATCTGTTTAGATTTATGATCTCCCTCTACGCATTTAGGACATTAATACAGAATCTTAAATTACTAATACTTTTTTCTTCCCTTTTTAAGGATTTATATCAGGAAAAATAAAAAAAAACTGTTGGGTCATCAGCAAAAACTGAATGCTTCCAAGGATGAAATAGATGCCATTATTCTTAAGTAGATTGTGCATAAAAAAATATGTGTAATGAATGGATTTGGCTACACTTGGCTAGAGCTAGTGATGGAGACTGCTTGATGACCAGCAGGCAGCTTCATGTGTAGACCTTATATGTGAATTACATATGAAGTCCTGTCTAAAACTATGCATTTATGAGAGCTCATAAAATGAAAAGTCACAGTTTGCCAGGCAGTAGCATATAATTGGCTGATCTACTGCAATTTCACACTTGTTCTGTATTACTCATCCATCTCATCTGCACTTTAGAAAATATAGCCTGTATATTTTCTTTAATAGAATTCTGCTAGGTATTGTCACTTGAAGAAATACAGGTATTCTCAAACATTTTTAGTAGCAACAGGAATGATTTCTTGATTTAAAATTACATCAGCTACAAAGCATGCAGTTTTAAAATGACAGTTACAGTGACATTCACATATACATTATAGATAATGTGCTTAGTATGATGCAATAGCTTGAATTACAGTTATTTCAGCTTATATATGTAAACCATGCTCGCAGTTTGTACCTGTATTGGTAAGACTACTGATAGAACCAAGATATGTGGTGGCCTCTGTGTACCAGAACCAGATCAGACCTTTGTGCAGTGTACTTTATGGATCCAAGGTCTTAAAGGGAAATGGTGGTGGCAGGGTGAACCAAGATGGAAGGGAACTGAAAATGTTCAATGAACTGCAGTTGGACTTCAAAGTCTTTATCTCCAAAGTAAACATGTATACCTGAAATGTCCTCCGGGAGTCTCGGGATGTTCCCCCAGCGGAATTTTTTCGGTACCTTCAATTGCGGCACTGGCTACTCTCGCTGAGGGCCACTTCTGCTTTCCCATATCAGACATCTGCCTTTGAACGGCTTTGCCAGCAGCGTCCGGGCGCCCCGGGCCTTATCTCCCTTCTTTACGCAGCTTTGAACAGATGCTCGTCACACACTTCTCTTTCATATGTAGTTCAGTGGGAACGCGACCTGGGAGTGGCTGTGGATCCGGAGGACTGGAATAAAGCCTGGTCACTCATAGCTAAATGTTCGTTTAATACGACCACGCTGGAAGCAGCCTATAAGGTAGGTATTGTTTCGTTGGTATTGGGTGCCGGCTCGTTTGGCCCAGGCTAACCCTGCCTGTAGTGATCGATGTTTCCGGGGCTGTGGCCATCGTGGAGATGTACTGCATATCTGGTGGTCATGCCCGAGGTTGGTTCGTTTTTGGTCTCGTGTGTTTGGCCTCCTTTTCACTTTGTTTCATCTCTCCATACGCCGGGATGCTCGGTATGCTTTGCTTCATTGCCCCATACCGGGCCTCTTGGCTCGTCAGCAGCGATTGGCTTCCTATTTGTTTTTATCGGCCACTAGGACAATTGCCCAGGCCTGGAAGAGTCCGTTTGTACTTTTTCAGGGGGTGCGGGATCGTATGACTACTATGATGCTCAATGAACAGATGTCGAGTATATGCAATGACTCTCAACATAAATTTTTGAAAATATGGGAACCGTGGTTGCAATATGCCTTTCCCACGCTCCCCCCGGCCAGTGTAGGGAGGTGATGGAGTTTTGTATTGGCGCTCATGGACCCTTGCTCTCTGGTGTATGTTTTTGTTTTTTTTTTCTTTCTTTCTTTCTCTCTGCTTTTCTTCTTTCCTTTTCTGTTTGTTTTGATGTGACAGTGGACAGCTGTCTTTAGTTGCAATAATCTGAGTTTCACTGATGTTATTGTAACCTATGTGCCATTGATAGCCCCTGCGCGGGCATGCATTTTGCCTTATTGGAATTAGAGCGTTGTCTGCTCTATTATACATTTTCTATCGGTGCAATTGATAGCCCCTGCGTGGGCGTGTTTTGTTGCCTCTGTTTTATACTGTTTAAAATTAATAAAAACCATTGAAATACAAAGTAAACATGTATAAGCATAATGTTAGAGACTCTAATTCTGCACTATGGTGTCCGTTTATGAACCAGCAGTAATAGCTTGCTGCTCAGTTCTCCGGCATTCTCGGAGAACACAGTTCTCCTGTGAATGCCTTTTATGAAGCAGTTCTCCAAACGAAGGGAGAACGGTCTCCAAACGCTGGAAAACGGCTCATTTTACTATAATCTCATGAGATTATAGTAAAAGATCAGTTTACTAAGCAGAGGTAAATTATCGCTGCTTAGTTTGCGGTCCCTCCAATTCTCCAGCTCTGGGCTGGAGAATATGGAGGGAGAACACAGATCTCCAATGAAGAGCTGAACAGTTCTCCACGGATCTCCTGAGTGTCATAAACTGTGAATGACCAGAGAATAGCTGCGATCCCCTGAATTGCAGCTATTCTCTGTGTCATAAACGGACACCTATGTCTGGATGCTGTGGATTATTACTCTTAATAACCAAGCCATTGCTGAATTTATTAAGTCTCCTTTCACACGGACGTTCTGATCAGGTCCACCTGCCCGTTTTTCAGGTGAACACAGTCGGAACCTCTATTCCTCTCTATGGAGCGACAAGTGTAAACAGATATGCGTCTGTTTATACCCGCCAACATCCAATCTGATCCGCCAAAAAGAGATGGATGGGGATCCATTCCCCTTCCATCCATCAGATCGGATGGGATAGCAGTCTGTTGGAAACAGACAGGAGGTTCCATCCGACCGCTCATAGAGGACAGCGGGCTGTGTCTGTGTCCGCTCTGCAGCAGCGGAGCAGACACGGACCTGTCATCTGCTTGCTCAGTGGGGATCAGCAGAGATATCCCCCGATGAGCAAACGGATCCGCTGATGGGTCTGCCCTGTGTGAAAGGGGCCTAAAACCACTGCTTGTCCAAAGTATTCTCTTTGTGAAAGATTCCCTTTACCTGATTTGGTGATAGAAGCAAGCACAAGTTTGCACGGATGGCACAAAACTTTCTTTTCCTCTCTTTGGTTTAGTAATTTAACATCTCAGGTTCTTTTTCTCCTCTTCTGTTCTCAGTGGTGGGTTAGTCCCGAATACTGC